CCGTCTGATGTAATTTATTAATTTTAAAACTCACTTATTAATTATTTGGGTGTGGTCAAGTGCTTAAGTAGTACTTAAGTACTGCAATAGAGTACTCGTACTCATACTGAATACAATTGTAAAAATGAGGGATTTGTACTCGTACTCATTAAAAAAATCAAACAGGTACTTGTAATGTACTTAAATACTTTTTAAAGTACTTCGCCCCAAGCCTGTTTTCAAGCTATGGCCATTTTAAGAAAACGTCAAAAATCTGAAAATACCCAAGGCTATAGCCCATGGTTTTTTCCAAAAAATGGCCGAAAAATCATTCCAAATTTTTATTACATTTTCTGATACATATTGATGCCCTTATGCTGTGTAGAAAGTTTGAGCTGATTCCGACTTCAATTTTTCAAGTTACAGCCATTTTAAGAAAATGCCAAAAATCTGAAAAATACCCAAGGCTATAGCCCATGGTTTTTTCCAAAAAATAGCCAAAAAATCATTCCAAATTTTTATTACATTTTCTGATACATATTGATGTCCTTATGCCGTATAGAAAGTTTGAGCTGATTCCGACTTCAATTTTTCAAGCTACGGCCATTTTAAGAAAATACCAAAAATCTGAAAAATACCCAAGGCTATAACCCATGGTTTTTTCCAAAAAATGGCTCCGAAATCACCCCAAATTTTTATTACATTTTCTGATACATATTGATGCCCTTATGCTGTGTAGAAAGTTTGAGGTGATTCCGACTTCAATTTTTTAAGTTTTGAGGTTCTCATGGTATTATGGGTGTGTGTGTCATTAGCAATAGGTATGCACTGAAGCAGAAGGTTGATCAAGACTATTCTGGACTGATGGATACTGTGGTACTTGCATGTAGTCTAGTAGTGGTGATGATGGTAACATTTTGTATTTTTAGAAATCTGAGATGAGTAAACTTGACTCACTGAAGAGATCTCTTTATGAAAAACTGAAGACTAGACTGAAGAACAAGGTACTGTACCTGTACATGTGATAGTCACATGATCTGTCCTCCTTCAGGGAATATCTCCTGAAAGACAAGAAACAAAGTTCTTAGAAGAAAATCTTGAGGAACTGAGCAGAGTACACAAGAAGGTAAAGGAGAGGGTGTGTGTGTGTGTGTGTGTGTGTGTGTGTGTGTGTGTGTGTGTGTGTGTGTGTGTGTGTGTGTGTGGGTTATGTATAATCAATAGTTTGGCATTGGTCTGTGTTTCTCATTCAGACTCTCTCTTCATTCTCTGAAGTTCAACGAGACCTTTTAAAACATCAAAGTCTCCTTGAAGTCAAATCAAATCGTGTCAAAGAATTAGAAACTCTTTTAAAAGAAACTAGACTAGCAGCTGATAAGGAATACAGGAAATTGATTGAAGAGAAAGACCAAATGAAAATTAACTTTTTATCTAAACTGAAGGAAAGAGACCGTAAGTATATTCAATCGTCATTGATTATTATTATTATTATTATTAATTGTTATTATTATCAACAGGTATTGGGTTTACAAGGAGACAAGGTCCTACAATAGTGCGTCCAGTGTCCCGCCCACAAGGAGGGGCGGAGTCTAGGAGTGTAGCTTCAGTGGGCGGGTCCCGTGAGGCTCTACTGGCAGTAGCTGGTGTCAATATTGTTGGTACCAGCAAGAGGTCTCCGCTATTAGACTCTGGGTCTGGGGCTGGAGGGTGAGTGCATGTACCATGATACAGCATGTTTCATTCCTGTTCCAATAGGAATGGGAATGAAACTGGAGGAGAATGAGTCCTTAAGTGAAGCCTTATAGTGTCAGTAAGTTGTTCCAGTTCATAGATTATGTGTAGATTAATGAACTGATAATGTATTGAGGTCACTCTCTTTTTAATAGTAATAGTTTAAAAGATTTGAAAGCTAACCGAACTAATTAATTAATCACTAATTCACTTTTAATTCATTATTCAGTCATTCATACTATTATTATTATTATTATTATTATTATTATTATTATTATTATTATTATTATATTCATGATGTTGTATTGATTAGTTTCATCATTAAGTAGTCACTGAATGTTAATGGTTACCCTCTCCTTATGAACAGTCAAGTATTGTCCACAAACACTGCTGTCTGTCTGTTTATAATGAAACTGTTAGACCATAACTCACTCCAGTCCAGCCAGTGTGTGTGTGTGTGTGTGTGTGTTTGTATTTTAAGGTCATGTTGAAAGTGTTTTGTGTGTGAGTTTAAAGCTACAATCACTTTGTCTTGTTTACATTGAGTGCTGTGAAATGAAAATAAATAACAGTCATTATTATTGTTATTATTATTATTATTAATCTAATCTGTTTCTTGGAATTGATTGTAACAACTGAATGCCTTGATGATAATGTTACTTGTGGAAAAATGAAAGTATGTACAAAAACAACATTATTTAATTAATAATTATAATAATATTATCATTTATCAGGTATTTTATGATACAATATGTTACTGTTTCTTTTGCATGAGTTGTTCAGTGTGAGTGGGTGGGGTTTACAGTGCAGAGGGTGTGGTTGACCTCAGTTTGAGGGACGCTGGAGACCGAGGTGGTACATTTGGACGATGAAGGTCAGGACGAGACTTGGAAAGACGTCTTGAATTGGACAGGGAGAGTTCCTCATCCTCGGGAATAGGTTGAGAACCAGTTGATGATCCATGGCTTGAGAGGGAATCCTTTTGAGAGAGTTTCCGCTTGAGAGGAGAAAGAACAGGAGGATCAAACACTCCATCGGAGAGAGGAGTGTGAACCTCTTCACTGCCGGTACCGTCCGTTGAGTTCTGAGAGCTCATGGAGGTTAAACTGGGTTTCCTAAACCGATCCAGTGACGTAGGACCACGAGAGAGGACTGGCCTACCTGGTGGGTATGGTGTAGTAGGAGAGGACCCTATAGTGCCACGCCTACTTGGTTTTGTAGCTATCTCTTCTAGTGACACGCCCACATTCATTATGGGTTCACTGGGTCTCCTCAATACATCCCCAGCTGCCATTAGAGAGTGGAGTGTAGCTCCTGAGGGGATCAGCCCACCATAGAGTATCCTGTTCCTAGCCATCACTGGGAATGAGGGACAGCCATAATGACTCCGGGAAATATATGCCATTTCTGTAGGACTGGTCTCCTCGAGGATTAGGAATACTCCAGTCGCCTTCTCTGTCATTATTTTTAACTCTCGTACCAAAGACTGGCGGGCGTAGGCCCCGGACGATATCACAAAGAATATGAATTGGTCCAATTCACTGGAATTCTTACAAGACCTGCAAGTCTCAATCCAGAGTATGTCCCTGTTGTTGATGAGCATGGATCCAACTCGCCTGATGTCCTTCAGAGGTACTTCAAGGAGGGAGTGACTGTCGCTAGGTGAGATTATTGATATCGATCCACGAGAATTGAATTTGAATATTCCTTCTCCACTTTCAGCAGAAGGTTGTGTTGGTATGTGTACGTGATAGACGGGTTCTAAAGAGATATCATTATGACAATAACCCCATTGTGTGTGTGTATGTGTCATTATTACATTTAATATCAGTAAGACTAAACAAGCTTTCATTAATACTGTTATTGCATACAAATGAACTCATCACTGTTGCTAGGCAATATCATTAGTTGTTTACCTTGTCCGCAAAACTCGCAGAGTTTAGCTAGCCATATGTTCTTAGTCCTTTGATCGCTGGCTCTTAGAATAAACTTTCTCTCCTGAGTCTCTATGGCAAACACGTTCTCTTTATGACCGATCTTGGCATTTGGACGTATTCCGATAAACTTTGCAAGATTTATTGTTCCTCTTTTCTCCTTCATTGTTCGGTCATTGTAGTATGACAGATCAATGCTGTTGGGATCATGCTGAGAGAGAGAGAGAGCGAGAGAGATAAATTTATTGCGGATATCATTTCATTGCATTTACTTACTGGATTAGTCCTGGACAGAACAAACCACCTCTTCTTCCATTTCTAAAGAGAGAAAGAGAGAGAGAGAGAGAGGGCAGTTAATTGTGAAGTGTTAGATAAACTGAAGGAGGTCCCAATGCATTGAGCTGTAAATCCTTTAGCAGTGAGTGAAAATTGGCTTCTTTGTTCAAATTCAAAACGTTAATTAGACAAAACTAATCCTAAAATGGCCAACACCAAGCAGCTCTTTACTGCATTAGGTAGTAGACTGCAGTACAATCTATCAGTGTATCAGTGACGGCTTACCACAAAGAGTTTGTCCAGTGGAGGTGTTTTCTGTAGGTAGCTCTCAAATAGTATCTCGACATCAGGGGCGAGGGGGGAGAGGGGGCTCGAGGGAGATGCAGCCATTACTTGTGTGAAGGACTGGTAGAGCACTGCCTGCCGTAAACTTTGAGAAGTGAAAATGAGTTTCTGTTTATTTTGCATCCTATTACTCGCTGTTTTATAAGAGTATGTAGATTACCGTATACGAACTATTTAATAGGACAATAGAGTCTATACGGTATAGATCTATTCAAAGATTCAAATAAAAAGGAATTATTTTTTCTTCAAAAAAAGTTAAAAAAATGTGCAAAAATTAACAAAAATTGGCTTTTTTGAATTTCCCTAGTCAATATGGAGGCCAGTCCAAGAGTGAATGGTTCCCAATTGCCCAAGTACATTGGTCAAACGGTATCCATAGTTGGAAGAACTAAAGGGGTAACTCAAATAATCATTAATTAATTATTAATTGAACTGCAGCTTGGAACAACTAGTGGTTTAAGGTCTGTACAACTGGAATCAAGCGACAAGAAGAACATTAACATTCATTTTCAACAACCTCTGGTTAGATATAGTTCAATACTCATTGTATTGTAAATTAATGAATTGTAGAGTGAACCACTTTCATTGTTTGTTGAAGTAATTGGACGAGTTGAACCTGACCTGTCTATCTCTGTATCAAGGACCAGCAACTGGGGAGATAACCTTGGTAATGAAACCTCCTCTTAGTCACTAGTAATGGATTCTGCTTATAGATATTGACATTTATGATGAGATAGTACAGCTTCTACCACAATACCCGGCACTATTCAGTTACAATACATAGTGTACTTTATGTTGCACACATTATTATTGAGGATAAGCTCATTTATAAGCTAGTAATGCTATCCTTGGATCAAACATAACGTTTCTTCCTAATTTAATAACATTTTTATGAAAAGAGTGGGCGGAAATGAGTAAGGGAGAGAGATTGTGGTCAGAGACACTTTGATCATCTCATGTCACAGCCAAAACCACACAACTTGTAAACAACAAGAGTACACATTATTGTACATGGGCTGCACTCTTGACTAGTTAATGGTATTTACTATAAATTGATAGTATTTACTAGCAGTCAGGAGTCATAAGGTCTCCTAGTCCTAAGGGACATTTAGTGATGAAATGAAATAGGAAATGAAGTACTATACAACTGTAACCATCATGATGATTAAAGAGAAGAGGAAAGAGACCAGCTGGTGTTAGAATGACTGGCTCTGTTTACTGAAGGAATGAGACACAAGATTAATAATAATGATATCAACACAAGACATGTAGTGTGGAAATTACAGAATTATAAGTACCTAGTTATTTTGCTGACTGTAATAACAAATTTAATAAAGATAGTAATAATTATATGATTACCCTGGAAAGCACACTTAAATTAATATACCACACCTTCTACATGTAATTTATTAGTCGTAAATTAATTAACAATGAATATTAATTAGGTGCACCCATCAAGGAGGAGACAGTGACAGCTGCAATCAGTAACTGGACAAACATTATGAGACCTGGGAATGGAAGTATGAGAATGAAAGCGTGGGAATGAAATCACTTACTGGAACCATTCTTTGATGTGAAGGGCATGGCCCCCATGACGGCAGGTCTGGCACCAGGTGAACCACTGACCAAACTGGTCAGACGAGTTTATCACACCTGTACATGTACATGTACATAAAGACATGTTTATGATATGGGCTAACCTGGGTCCTTCCCCTTGCTAGTTCCTGCCACCATGTGGAGGAGACACAGAGCACATCTTGGGAGCGGCTTACGACAACTGGGACAACTAGTCGACTGAAGGAGTGGGTGGAGTCAGACACACCCACAATAGTCTTACCTTTTTAGCGGTTCCTTTAGACCGATCTACAATAAAGAGACGGATTATTATCACACCACCCACCAATCACATGTACCTTGTCTCATGACGTCACTGGTAATTGCTTTACTGCAGAAGGTACAGAGTATCGATGCATTCTTCACTAGTTTAAAAGACGGGTCAATCAGCTTCCGCTGATGATCAAAATGAGCTCTAATGACACCAGTCAGTAGGTGTGGTCAGTAAATACACACTTACCTTTCGTTCCATAGCTTCCACTGATCCAACAAATCTCTATAACTAATAAATAAATAAATAAATAAAATAAATAAATAGATAATAATAGACTACTACAGTTCTTTCAAATTCAAAAGGAGCAGGCACTTACATGTATATATTAACACAGTAGGAGTATGATTGTGATGGTATAGGAAGTTGAGGGTTTAGTCATAAAAACTATTAAACATGATCTAATGACCTTTCAACAATAACACAGACACACTTGAGTGTACATGTGGGAATAGACTAATGTACATGTACCAGCATACAGGCCATTTCTCCAGACACCATTCATTCATTCATTCATTCATTGTATGGTATACTAGGAGACTGAGACATTATGTAGTCCAAGTGGGTGTGTGTGTGATGAACCAGTAGTACTATGATGGTCACTCTATACAGCAGCTGTATTGGGACTATACAGCAGCTGTATTGGGACTATACAGCAGCTGTACTTATACTGCAGGTGTAATAAGTAGAACAGTTAGTTTTTAGAATATGCAGACACACACACTCGCTAACAGTAAAAGGGAAAGTTTAATTAATACTAGTGTAACTGAGTTTAGTAGATTACTAGTCTAAGGGTGTGTCTATTAATCACATTAGGAACATGTTTACTGACCCTTCAAACCAGCTGTGTACCGTCCTGTTCCTATTAACAGCTGGTAATACTTGAGTACATATGAAACATGCTGTTTGAACATCTCCAGTCTATGAAATAATGAAAATGTATATTTTATTAAAAAGAGTGTCAGTTACTTTATTAACGTATTGAGCTAGTAATGAGATACCATCATTATTCAGACCTGCAATTGAGGCTCATAATACATGTACATGTACAAATTCTTACCAGTTAGAAATATTCCCTCAATATTTCCTGAAGATATAACTTTCTCCTTAAGGCTGGTTACATATTCTTTTAACTAATAATTCCAATAGTCATGTGACTGTCATGTGATGCAATGAAAACCTTTTTATCCTCAAGATAAGTACAAGCAAAGGCAACCCTGTCCTGCAACATCAGTGAATCATCTTGCTATAAAATAAATAAATAAATAAATAAATAAATAAATAATGACAGTTGTTTACTAGAATGCTGTTAAAGTCTCCATTGGAGCACAAGAAGGTGAATATAGCCCTGAGGTAAGGATCAGTGATCTGTTCTGAAATATGATAACAAGTTCTTTGCCAAAGAGACTGCTCGGATGAAGTGTATCCGGACAACGAAAGAGCAATTAAATTTAATAAACTACCTACAATAATAATAATAATAATAATAATAATAATAATTATTATTATTATGATGAATCTTTATTAACGAACCCTCCAGTTTCTTTCCTCTATTAATTATTTTCTCGGCTCCTTCTTTCAAACAATCGTTGGCAGTTTTAAGGTTTCCTTGAAATACAGCAATGGCCGCTGCCCGTTCATATCTTTCTGAGAATTCCTCCCTACATTAATAAACAAAGAATGGCCTTTGTAGACTAAAATAACAAATCAATTAGCATCAATTTCCTTTCAGAGATAAACCCACACACTTGAACACACACAGCACTACATGTATATAATAATAATAACATGTATTTCTTTAAACACATGTACAACTACATGAGGACAATAAGACTTGTATGTATTCTGGTGTCCATTCAGGTCTCACCACACACCCACTCACAATAATTAATGCACCTGCAACTTTATTCAAATTCAAACAAAGAGTTTTAAAATTCAAAAAGATATACCTTTTAAGGAATGAATCAAGAGTCTCATTATTGTCACAGCAGAAGCTCCACCCACACAAATCAAGAGCAAGGGATCTCTTAGCACTGGAATATGTAACAAACCCACTGCTTGGAAGGCACCTCGTGGAACCAGACAAATCTAATAATGATAATAAATAATACTAATGTACTATAATATACATGTACAGGTGTATGTGTATTTATGTTTGAGCTGATACCAATCAAAAATGGACTCTTTACTATCTTTTAAAGTTGCTCCAAAATCAGACCAAAGTCCTTGTACTATAGTACAGGGTCTTTGGTCAAATTTCACCGAAAATGAAAGGGAGAGAATTCCTCAATTTTATCAAACATTATGATACGTATACCTGTACTTAGAAAGTTTGTGAAGATTTTGATCAAGTTTATACTTTCTACAAATCTTTAAAGTTGACCACACCCATTAAACCACTCCCCTTACTATCAAGTACTTGATTGACTCCGTTAATGTTCTTCATGGAATCTGAAGAGGAGGAGACTTGTACTAACAAATAATAAATAAATAAATAAATAAATAATTAATTATAATTACTGTTAATCCAGGTCCATACGTTGGAGAGTGTCACATCATTTGATGTCACTTCAATGTTCTTACCAATCTATGGAGCTATGAATAATTAATGAGCTAATTAATTAATTAACAAACATTAAATCCGTAACCAGCTTCAACTCTTTTTCTCATTACAACAGAAATATCATCTGACAATAGATCCTTTAATAATAATAATAATAATAATAATAATAATAATAATAATAATAATAATAATAATGATAATAATAAATAAATTATTTATTATTATTAGTTACTTTATTATCATGATTAGTACCAAGTCCAACTGACCCAACAATCAAGGACTGGCCACTCCCCCAGGATAATGAGGTTTTATCAGAAACTTTAATCTCCTGCACCTTTCCTAATTAATGCCCTTAATCAGCCACACCCCTTTAATTAACCACACCCATTACCTTCATTATTAGTTATTAGTCCAGTGTTGAGCCAGTGATTGTTCCACTGCAGTGATACCACTGACCTCTTCCTCCCCCACCCTATGGGATGAGGCCCATCATTAATAATAATAATAATAATAATAATAATAATAATAATAATAATAATAATAATAATAATTGTTAATTAATTAATACCTTGTCTTGAAGACAGTGGACACCTATCGCTGATGTGTGAATTGAAATATTCAGTGTAAGTTTCTCCAATATCTGACCCTAGTGATATTGACAACACATACACTTCATCATCATCATCATCATTATTTATTATTATCCTTGTTCTGATTACCTTGGGAGAGGAAGGGTATGTCAATGATCCTCAGATAGGGTGACTCTGAGAAGACAGCACTCAGTGATCCTGGCCTATTGACGGGTAATGACGAGTAACCATGACAACAGACTTGCCTTGTAGCTAGCCATGACAGCTGGAGTACAGTCCCTGACCTTTGGAATGAGTACATCTACAGAGAGTCAGACAGTGATGTAAGGAAGCAATGAAGGGAGACTGAACCAAGGGCTGCATACACAGACATAACTAAATATCATGAAACACCATTATCACATCTACTGTACACGTAGTTTGAGGATATTCAACAGACAGAAAGGTATCACAATGTATTGATTCATGTACAGCTTAAAATGAAAGGGAGTCAATTGGCAAGGACAGCTCATATTATTAAGTTAATAATTTTAATGATTTGACTTGATCTACTGTATCCAGTCAATACAGGAATGGGATACTGTCTAATATTAATTAATGAACAGTGTCTAATATTAATTAATGGATTATCAATTAATGGATTATCAATTAATGGATACTGGTCTTTGAAATGAGCGAATGTCCCAAAGGTAGACAGTACTACCCTAATGAATAATTAATGAGTTTAATTAATTAATTCATAAATTAATTAATACTTCAGCATAAGATGCCAGTTGATATCCATTATTAGGGTCAATAGTTAGTCCATAAATTGCTTTATGTTGAGCAAATTCTCTCTGACCTCCTCCAGTTTGCAATACACTGTGATGCTCCTCTAAAAACCAATAATAATAATAATAACAATAACAATAATAATAATAATAATAATAATAATAATAATAATAATAATAATAATAATAATAATAACAATAACAATAATAATAATAATAACAATAACAATAATAATGATGATGATGATGTTCTATCCAGGAGTACCTCTTATGTCAAATACTTTAAGAAACCTTGACCCCATACCAGCAACTAGCGCATTCTCTTGTAACCATGACAATGAACTAGTGCTTTCACCATGACCTGAAGGAGAGGGAGGGAGAGGGAGGGAGGGAGAGGGAGGAAGAGGGAGGGAGAGGGAGGGAAGGAGGGAGAGAGAATGAAGGTGAGTGATAAATGTGCCCCTGACCTGTTTCATAAAACTTGCTCCTTTCTTCAGGTCCAGTATTATCAGGAACACGTGATCTATTATATGAAATTAATCACTTTATAACTGACCACACCCACTAACCCAGTCCTATCATGTACAGTTGATGCGTGGGTGATGTCCCAGACTATCAGTGAGGAATCACTACGGGACTTCTCAAGACCTTCTGCTAACTATTAGTATATTATTAGTAAATCACCAGTATACTAACAGTATATCATTAGTATACTAACCAGTCTGGTATTGTTTGGGTTCCATGCTACACAGTGACAGAGTCGGCCGAGAGACTTTGGAACTAAATATGATACTAACAGTAACCACACCCACTCATGACCATACCGACTTACCTAACTGGAAACCATGACTACTGAGAATTGGCTGCTTTGATAACAAACTAAAATTAATTAAATAAATAATAATAATAATAATAATAATAATTACTTTAATAAGGAAACTTTTCCGTTAGATTGACCGACTGCAAAAAAGTGAGGATTGTCTTTGTTCGGTTGCCAAGCAACAGTCTATAAATATATTAAGCCCCACCCCAGCCCCTCCCCTTACCTGGTAACCAGGGGAACAGGATACTTCAGAATTAGCTCCTATCAATCTTCCTCTATGAGTAGAAGAAAGGATAATATCTAAAGGAGACAAAGACGGAGCTGTTGTTGATCATATTGTACCATATTACCTGTACTGGTGGTGTCCCTCTCCTATTGTTAAGAATCAGTTACTACTAATGGTCGTGTATATATGTCACCTACCTCCAGTCCCATTGGCTCATGATTATAGACTCTCAGTTCATTTCCATAAGTAGCAAACTCACTCTCAGTCACTGGGGACCATATCACTTGTAATCTCTCAGTCGCCATGTTTCTTTTACTAGTTCCACGTGGTTTCAGTATACTAATGTACATGTCCGTAAAATCAGAGACCAGTAAGGAATGGGTGTGGTTATATATCCACGTGTCAGCACGTGGGTAGGTAGGAGGTGCTTTCTTTCCAATATGGCTGGCTACCCCTACTGGTCTGTACTGTGTTTCTCTCTTCCTCTGGTGCTGGTTGCTCTATTGAGAAAGAGCCTAAGGCCTAAGCTAAAGGAGCAGTATTGTTTAGCTGACGAGTTCGTCTGCAGCTTGTTATGGCTACTCTGGTCATTTGAAATATCCTTAGTCTCCCTTCACACCCATTCCTCAGTCCATTACATACTACTCTTCATTGCTTTACTCTCCCAAAGGTCGATATATCAAGAGGCTACAGTCAATACTTCTGCTCTTATTGTCAAGTCTGTTAGTTTTGGGTGGAGTCTCAGTAGGACCTTACTCCTTCTCTTGGCACAGTTGATGGCCCTCCCAGTTGCCATGGCGATGATCCTGTTCCTACACAAGGTATTGGCTCCATTCTCTTCTCCCCATAGTGAAGGTGTCTCTGTTTCTGGTGATGTCCTTCAGGTTGAGATAATTCAAGGATTTATCATTGAGGCTATTGGCACACTCCTGCTCTCAGTTCCACCCGCTCTTGTTAAATCAAGAGGTCTCATTTTTGACTTTGTTTCGGCCTCTAATTATACATTAATTGAATATTTCTTTGGACCGTTCACTGGTGCATTCTGCAATCCATTATCAGCTACTTGTTTCTGCCTCTTCTTTAATAAACAAAGTCTGTTTGAATTGCTAACGGTTTACTGGGCGGGCAGTGTCACAGGGGCTCTGATTGGGTGGAGACTATTTTACAATAGAATGGAAAAACTCAAAATACCATAATTGATTTTTAAGTCAGTTATTTCTCAAAATTAAAGAACTTCCTTCCACTAATTAGCACTTTTGGTGTTGCTATGACATTTTATTAATTATTTATTATAAAACAAAAGTTGATCAAAAATTGCTATTAAATGAATAATAATAATCCTACAGCAATGCAACTAATAATAATAAAAACAAATTAATAATAATAGCAACTAAAACACTAATCAGTTACACAGTACATCAGGTTATTAATAATGTAGTTTTAAACTTTCACTCGTCATTTTCTGAACGTACGCCCACTGTACAAATAGACAGTAGCTATTATGGCAGTGATCATGTTCATCAACTTACGAAATAGTCTTCTTTTCAGTAACTTTGGCCTCAGGACGGGCTCTATTTAGAACTTTGAGTAAAGCATTAGTACGAGCTCTCATTCGTGAATGAAGATAAGCCTGAGATTAACGATAATAGTAATAACACCCACTCACTTAATTACCTTTGAACACTTGATGTGATAATGGAGGTAGTTCCTAAAGGTGTGTATCAGGTTAATGGTTTTATTTCTGGCAGCTGCATCTTTAAAATGACGTGGGAACAATACTAAATATAAATAAAGTAAAGTGGGTATGGGGTCAGTAGGTGTGGTCTTACCAAAAGTGATGTAGCCTACATTGGCCCCAGTGAGAGCATCAGTTCCCTCCAGTTCCTGTGGAGGCTCCGAATGAGAGAACAAGACTTGAGGAGCAGTTTGACTGCCACGCCTCCCCTCCTTAAACTCCTATCATTATAATAATGATGGGAGTGGTCACCTTAACCCACACCCACCTGCATAAAGACCTTTCCAATAATAACATCATCGTCGTCCATGAACACTGTACTGAATATAACTGTCACTCTGTCCTTCTGGGCGGAGACATACCTAATTAATTAATATTCATAAATAAATTAATTAATGGGTGGGGCTGGGCTTACATTGTCTCCTGTTCCCTGTAGTGTATAATGGCGGTTGATTTCTCTCCTCCTTTCGCTTGAATATCAAAATACTTTTCAAAAACTGACGCAAAGCAATTCCTCTTGAGCAAAGCAAAATGTGTAGCAAGAGATTCTGTGATCATGTAACAGACATGTACATGTATACGTAACATTATTTGTACAGGTAACATGTGAACTCAGGTCCCTCTCTCTCAATCCTTACCCACGTCCTCAGGTAGGTCATCCAGTGACACTTCTAGTGTTATATCGTAACCACTTTCAGCTGCTACTGAATACTTGCCATATTCCCTCTCAATCAACTAATTAATAATTAATTGAATATAATGAATAATTAATGAGTATTACTTCATCTGCTCCATGTTTCTGGAGGTCAGCGTAAAACTTGAGAGAAATACTAATCTAGAGACAATAATGATAGAGAGACATGATGGAATGGAGCCACATACTCTGATCTTGTTCTTTTCTCCCTCAGGATTGGTAACATGAAAGAGTACACCATCATAATCTAAAGACATTAATGATACATAATGGACAGTATAACCTCCTGCTAACAGTATATACAGGTAACCTTCTCTCACTGATAAACAACATGCACATGTAGATTGTTGTTGTTTACATGTACACACATTGTTGTTGTTTATGTGTACATGAACTCTACAAGTCCTTACCTGCAACAGTGATATCAATACCTTCAGGTTTACCACCAGCAGCACTACATAAAGAATACATGTGTATAAAGAACAGTATCATACATGTACATGATTCATCAGTTATGAGAGTCACCTTTTAAACCTCTGTAGCAACACTTCCTCAATAACCTTGTTCCTTGTTTCCAGTAGTATCATAGTGACAGGGTTTAGAGAATATTAAGAATAATAGCAAGATACTTGAAGATAGTGTACACTCTCCAGGGAGAACCTAAAATGGTAGTATAAGGGAGTGGTCAGGATCACGTGAGATAGTCACGTGATCATCTGTTATAGAATAGGTGTGGTTTAGGCAAGATATAACTGCCCGGCTTCTTGTAGTGCGCATGCTCAATAGCAAATTGGCAATTGGTTTTCACGTGTTTTTCAATTGATTTTTGCTACCAATTTTGTTTTCTATTATATTTTCTAGTTTCATAAGAAATTAAGATTATGGAGGATAGACCACTGCCAAAGACTGGTAGAGGGGCAGCACTGGCCAAGGTAGCAGGTGTGGTCTTGTGTTACTCTCTTCTCTGCCGATAGGTATTGGAACAGTCAGCAGGAAGGACACCAGGTGGAGTCCAATCAGCAGCAGGGAGGGCCCCAGGAGGAGTACAGTATGGATCACCTATTGCCATGGCAGCCCCTTTACCCATGGGTGGGCGGGGTCAGTCTATGACTCCGCCCCCTCACGTGATTACTGGCACTGCTCGGGGACAAGGGATTCAGTCATTGGGCAGAGGACACACTCTTTCTACTTATGGGCGGGGTCAACCACAAACTGCACCCACTAATCAAAACCCAGTACGTTGAGTTGATTCCGATCACATTTTATGAATTTTCAAAGTTTAAAATGGGACCAAATTTCAGAGCGAGAGTCCCTTAGTTTTTAGACATTTTTTTGATACATGTACATGTTTTTATTGTATATTGTAGGCTCCGCCCACTAATCAATCAAAGGCTGGACCATTAGCCCCTGATCCTATACCAGGTACTAGTTATTAGTAGTTATTAATGTTTATTAATAGTTATTAGTTCCCAAACCAATTGGTCGTGGTATGTTACTAAGGAAACTGTACGAGTCTCAAACTAAGACCCAGTCTTTGATTCCTAAACAGTCTCCGCCCAGTGGTGCCCCACCCAGTGATCAACTCTCTCAGCTTCAGTTACAAGGTGCTGTCAGTCCTCCTTCTAAGACTCCGCCCACTTCCTCTCCTCGTTCCCCCTCCTCTCCAGCGTCCCAGGCAACTCTTAAAGCTAACCAACACTCACCACCTGGCCCCGCCCACTCACCGCAGACCAACCTACCAGTGACCAGTGCCGGTAGTCCACAGTTCACTTTATTGTCCGATGGTGAAATACGTCAAGGAATATCAGGACAGAGGTATTATTTTTATTGGTAGGTGTGGCTTGTTTCTAATTAATTATTCATAGGATTCCATTGGGTGCTAATTATTTAGTTGTTAAGAGTAGATCTAATACTGTCTTTCAGTACATGGTTTCTTTCAAGTAATACTTAATAACTATTAATAACTACTGCCCCACCCCCTTACAGTCCCCCGGTTGAGTCTAAGAACATGCGCTATGGGATGATCAACGAACATAAAGACCTCATTGGACCTACTAGAGCTTTTGACGGATCAGTACTTTACCTGCCTCTTAAAATTACTGATGATGTAAGTGATCAATTAATTGAATGGTTATTATTTCTCCCCTCCTACCCGCAGATAGTAACTCGTAAAAGCATCAGGTCCACTGATGGTACTGAGATTACAATTGACATAACATTGACCAATGTTCTGGAGTACAGGGAGTGTACCCAGCTGTTCAATATCATCATAAGAAGGGTCCTCAGAGCCATTGACATGCAAGAGGTTGGGAGACACTACTTTGACAAGAACCATCCAATTAAGATACCCCAACACAAGTACATTTATTATTATTATTATTATTATTTATTGTTATTATTATTATTATTATTATTATTATTATTATTATTATAGGATGGAACTTTGGCCTGGTTATGTTACTTCCATTCATCATTTTGATGCTGAACATTTACTGTTACTGTTAGACGTGTCACATAAAATGTTGAGAATGGACACTGCTTTGGATTTTCTGTAAGTGTCTCATATATTAATAGTATATTATTGCTATATTATTAGTATATTATTGCTATATTATTTATTATTATTATTTTTCAGGTATGAGTTGTATTCTTCTTGTAAAGATGGTTTCCAGGAAGAAGCGACTAGACAGTTGGTTGGTTCTATTGTGTTGACTCGTTATAATAACAAGACTTACCGAGTGGACGACATTGCATGGGACAAGAACCCACAGAGCACCTTCATTGATCATAATGGACGACCAATGTCATTCATCGAGTACTACAGGTAACTATTATTAATTAACTATTATTATTATTAATATTAATTAGGAACACATATGGTAGAGATATCACTGATAAGGAGCAGCCCCTATTGGTCCATCGTCCTAAGAAGAACAGAATGCACTTTAAAAGAGGGCGTGGTTTACCTGAAACTGATACAGCTGAAGTATCTACTTATTCTCGCTATTAATACATTAATACGTTAACAGGAGGTGGAGCAGGTCATTTGTTTGGTTCCAGAGTTGTGCAGTATGACTGGTTTGACTGATAAAGCAAGATCTGATTTTAGAGTCATGAAAGTACATCTTTACTTTATTATTATTATTATTATTATTATTATTATTATTATTATTATTATTATTTGTTTAATAGGATTTAGCAGCTCATACTCGTATTACTCCTGCTCAACGTGAAATTGCAATCAAAAAGTTTGTGAGGACAGTTAATGAAAGTGAAAAGGTTAATACTAAGAGGTGTGGCTTGTTGTCATGGTTACCTTGTACAGGCAAAAGAGGAGTTAAGTTCCTGGGGCCTGTCCCTTCACCCCAATATCCTGGAGACTAATGGCCGCCTTTACAAGCCAGAGACTGTTCTCTTTAGGGATGGATCAGTAGTCGCTGGACTGGACGCCGACTGGAGCCGACAGCTAGTGAAGGAACATGTCATATCAGCTGTACCTCTAACCCACTGGTTGCTATTGGTTACCAAGAGAGACTCAGGGAAAGCTGTTGACTTTATTGAAATGATGAAGAAAGTGTGTCCTCCAATGGGTATTGAGGTGAGCATTAATTAGAGATAATTTATTATTATTATTTATTATTATTAGGTGAAGGAACCTCGTGTCATTGAGTTGCAGACTGATAAGACGGAGTTGTACTTGAGAGCAATACGAGAGAACATGAGCTCCTCACTTCAGCTGGTGGTGGCCATATTCCCAACACAAAGAGACGATAGATACTCCTCATTGAAGAAACTCTGCTGTGTGGAGTGCCCCATACCTTCACAAGTATTCCCTTTTTATTTATTTATTTATTATTAATTATTAATTAGGTGATTAATGCCCGTACCATATCTCAGCAGCAAAAGTTGCGGAGTGTTACCCAGAAGGTTGCCCTCCAGATTAACGTTAAATTGGGCGGAGAATTGTGGGCAGTGAAGACCCCATTGGTAAGTGTTCTGGTGTTTCTAATTAGTGCCCACCTGTCAATAGGAGAATGCTATGGTGATTGGTATTGACGTTTATCATGACAGCACAAGAGGGAAGAGGTCAGTACTGGGGTTTGTGAGCAGCACCAACAAGTAATTAATAGAGACATTTTTAATTGTTATCATTGTAATAATAATAATGATGAGGTTTTTCACTCGTTGGTACTCGCGTGTGACCATTCAAGGAGCCAATCAAGAGATTGGGGATGGACTCAAGATATGCTTCCAGTCCTCACTGAGGAAATATTATGAAGTATATTAACTTATTTTATTTAACTTATTTATTTGTTTGTTTTTTAAGATTAATCACAATTTGCCTGATCGTATTGTTATATTTCGTGATGGAGTTGGTGATGGTCAAGTTAAGACTGTGGTGGAGTTTGAGATACCTCAGATGAAGAGCTGTCTCGCCATGTTTGGTAATAATCATCAGTCCATTGAATGTAGAGTGAGAGAATGTAATGAAGATGGAGGATTCTATTCATTTTATCTTTGGTGAAATTTGGTCAAAATCCCTGTACTATAGTACAGGGACTTTGGTCTGATTTTGGAGCAACTTTAGAAATTTAAAAAAAAATCCAAATGTGATTAGAATCAGCTCAAACTTTCTACACAACATAAGAACATGTATATGCACCAGGAAATGTAATAAAAACTAAAAATGGACAATTCCCTTTTTTTCAATTTTGTTGAAATTTGTACAAGGGTTATGTTCATCATTATCATCATCATCATTATTATTAGTAGTAGTAGTATTGTTGTTGTTGTTGTTGTTGTTAGGTGAATCTTATAAGCCAAAGATTGGTTTTGTTATTGTCCAGAAGAGGATTGCCACTAGGTTGTTTTCCCACGGACCCCAGGGATATGAGAACCCTTGTCCTGGGACTGTATTGGACCACACTGTCACCAGGAAGGGATGGTAATTAATTAATATTCATTATTATTAATAAGTGACTCTGCCCTCTTTCACTAGGTATGATTATTTCCTAGTGAGTCAGCATGTTCGTCAAGGAACAGTTACGCCCACTCACTATCATGTAGTACTAGACAATGCTGGCCTGAAACCAGATCACATGCAAAAGTATTTATTTATTTATTTATTTATTTATTAATGATTCAATAGGTTAACGTATAAGCTCACTCATATGTACTATAACTGGCCTGGGACTATTCGTGTTCCTGCCCCTTGTCAGGTACAGTACCACTTTATTTATTTATTTATTTATTTATTTATTTGTTTTTTTTAGTATGCTCATAAACTTGCTTTCCTTGTTGGCCAGTCTCTTCATCGTGAACCAAGTCTTGAGATATCTGACAGACTCTTCTTTCTTTAAATACATCAAGTACCCCTCCCCCCCTTCCCACATTACTTTCATATTTATCCATTTGTTGTTACTATATATCACTTGATTCAACTATCCATTAATCAATGACTGAGTACTAGTATCATTATTATCATTATTAATTTCATTTGTGATTCATTTCTTCTATTTCAAATTTAACACAGTTACATTGACACAATACTAATATTCAATTGGGAGGGAGACAAGGTGAACAATAGTGTGTCCTTATTTCATTAGTGCAATGAGTCCAATCATGGCACTGGTCATTATGGTCAACAGGTTGCCAGTTAGTGAACCACATCCACACATTTTAGGTAGTTCAATTTTACATTCCATGAACCTCACGATAAAGTTTGGAATGAGGTCTCTGAAGGGGCTCCCCTCTATATTGAACAGATTCTGACAGCAGCACCCCAGCCCTGTCTTGGCTTCATTCACTGCTTTCTTGCAGGACTCACGTGGACAGAAGAACTCTGGGGCTACACAATATATCCTTAACTTGTACTTGCTCACTTCTCCTTTCTCCATTTTGTCTAGTCCTTTTACAAGACAGAAGTCACCTCCATCTTTGGCACAGTATAGCATTTTAAAGAGGAACAGTTGGTGGATTGCTTCCTCTACTCCAGCACATGCTGAGTAATATGATGTGATGATTTGAATGCAGTCAGTGTCACAGTAGCTCTCCAGTCCTTCTTTTAATATTTTACGGTTTGCTTCATTATTTTGCAAGTTCTCGTCTCCGTGTACTAGTTTTACAATAAAGTCCAATAGTTCAATGATATTGAGACACTTTCCATCACTTTGAAACCTCATCATCAGCTGCCCACAGTAATCATACTGCCTCTATAAGTTAAAGCATAGCCTATCATCAGCATCATCATTAATAATCTTACCAGTGGTTTGTTGGCACTTCTTGTTGTTATTCCATACATGTTGACACTGTCAGTTTGGAATGTGTATGGACCAACAATCACTTTAGAACAACACGTGAGGTGATCTTCCTCTTCTCTTTCCTTGCACACCAAAGGACACCATTTAATGATACACTCCACATCAACCTCTTCCAGTATATTGTTACCAGTGGATACTATCAACTGCTGGGCACAGTAGCCTCTTCCACTTACTTGACAGAGAGTGTTCCTTATGTACATGGCCATTCCTTCATCATGCACTTTATATTTCCATGCATACTCCAGTGGCCTGAGGCAGTCCTCATGGCACAGTATTGAGAGGGACTCCTCAATGTACTCACCATCTCTATGACCATATACAGTATCAATGGCATCAATACAGGTCAGGGGGTAGTCAGGATCCACTGATTGAGGACAGGCCTTCTCCCTACCAGTGGACACATTGTATATCAGTAGAGGAGACCTCAATAGGAACACATGAACTGATACTGCTGGAGAGGAGAAGAGGAGAGCACACAGTACCACTAGTGTATGTGTGCTGGCCATGCTTGAACTGAGAGGATAATGAACATGCTGTCTCGTTTTGACCACCTGCAGCTCAGGTAGTTAGTTTTTGTCATGTATCTAACATTATTGGTACAGATATTCCTGACACACCTTGGAAAACCAAACTTTAATCTTTAGCATAAACAACATGTTTATGATTAGATAAACACACTCTAAAATAATGATAATCATTTGTGTAAGGGGTTGTTTTTTTCCATCAGCAAGAAGCCTAAGCAGTAACAGTTTGCATAGTAAAGTGTGTGGGATGATACTATACTCATTACATCATTAGTTATGATTATTTTTAGTCCCTTTGGTGTGATCCTACTGATAAGTAGCTGTATTCCCCCCCCTCTCTCACTCTCTCTGTCTTTCTCACTTGTCATTATGTTCCAGTATTGTTTCATTGCAGTTTTATTTTCATTGGTAGCATCACAGTTTGGTCCTCCTGGTTCTCCTTCTTGTACTTGTACTTGGCCCTCATCCTGTCCAATAGCAGAACCACAGTTCCTCTTTTGTGTCAGTCATTTAGCTCATCTCTTCAATGCTACTAGTATTGAGCTAGCCTGTACTACTCCAGGTTGCTTTGACTCATACATTCAGTGTATTGCTGCCAACTGTACTCCTTCCCATGCTGTATTCTATAGAGATGTGATGTGTGGCAGGAATGAGACAGGAGACTTGTGTTGGAATTCAATAGCTAGTGGTGTAATTGCAGGTGAAATCTCATGCAGTGCTTGTGCAGATGAATGCACTTCAACTTGTAATTCAACTGTCCTAGCAATGGCTGATAGGCTAGGCTGCTGTGCCTCAGTCTATTTCAATTATACTAATGTCCCAATTCATTTTCAGTATCCTCCCAGTAGTGTATTGGGCCAGTGTGAGTTTGAACCAACTAGTGCTGCCTGTACTGCAGCTGGTTCTAGTGTATCTACACTCATCACTACTGGACAAACATTGTCTTCTCTCTCCTCTTCTTCTATTCTACCTCCTACCTCTTCTCCCTCTCCTTCCCCTTCTACCTCTTCCTCCTCTCTCTCTCCTTCTCCTTCCAGTTCTTCTCCCTCACTCTCACCTTCACCCTCTCCCACTCCCTCACCCTCACCCTCACCCTCTCCCTCACCCTCTCCCTCCCACTCTCGTTCCCAATCCTCTTCAGTATCCATTTCTTCAGAAGTAGAGGCTACTCAATCCTCCAGTCCTACAAGCAGTGGTGCGTGTGTAATGAATGGACTTATGTCACTGATTGTTTGTCTGTTGGTTGGTCTAATTGCAATTATAAACTGATATTGTGCCCATTATCCTGTGTTTGTGTGTGTATAGTTTGAACTAACAGTTTTGATATGACATGTAACCTTGTCTATTATTATTCTTATTATTCTCATTAGTAGTATTATTAGTATTAGAGTTAGTGTTAGTATTAGTTTTGCTTGTTATTCTCTTGACAATTAATATAAACTGACAGTTTGAAGTGGAAAAATGTATTTTTAGCAAGGCAATGTCCATGCACGTGGTTTAAATATACGAATAATAATATGAAAAATATCCAAGTTTGAGATACACCCATTTCAAGATGGCGGCTGAAGGTGAGGATCAGTCCAGTTTGCTAGGAGAGAATGGCGGGGAGGGATTGTCCCAGAGAGAGGATGTCTCCATAGAAAAGAGGAACCTCATTAATCTGACCAAACTATCAGTCAAGAGTTTGATAGAGGCAGCCATGAAGAGACCTCAAGCTTTGACTGACTCCAACACTCAACTACGCCAGCTACTGATAGCTCTGGAGCACTGCCTGAAACACAGGCTTAAAGGTATAACATTTTTTATTGTTTGTTGTTGTTTATTGTTTGTTGTTGTTTAGTGAAGAGGAATCTATTGGGAGGGCAGAGACGTTCCTTTTGGTCATTTTTGGAATATTTTGAACACCACAGCAACTCAACACAAGAATTCATTGAAACTATGAACAGCACCAGGAGTGTCGCTGGAGTAAAGTAACAACTATTAATAATCATTAATAACTATTAATAACTATTAATAGGACTCCCGGTGGGCGTGTGAGGGTGTGGGTCAGAATGTCTTTAATGCATAAAAAGTTATCGGATCATTTTAGACTATTATCAGAAAATAAAACATTATTAAAGTAAGTTAATTAATGCTATCAATTAATTAATTATTTATCTAGTGATTGGTATGAATCAGATTCCCTGATGTGTACTGATGAGTGCACAGTATTGATCAGTGGCCTCCTCATGAGTCTCAACGTCATTGATTACTCAATATCTCTCAATGGGGAGGAGTTTGATAAACCTGTGAGTATCTGTCTGTCCGTATCAATGCATGCACGAATATTTAATTAGACCGGAGTCTTTGACTTGAGTTTGTTTCTGAAAGACGGAAATTATTTGGAAAAAACAGCAGAAGATGGCGAATTAGAAAATGAGTAAGTATTTGTTGTTATTGCTATTGTTATTGTTATTGTTATTGTTGTTGTTGTTTGCAGTACAGAGGATGACAAGTCATTGCAACTGGCACAACTGCTAGATCAAAAAGCTTACGTTGAAGAACTGAATAAAAAGATGGGGTTAGTAATTAATTAATAATTAATTATATTTATATTGTACCAGAGGTCAATTGGAGAGATTACAGAGTAGATTACAGAAGATTACTGAAGAGAACGAGAGCATGAAAGAACAGCTAAGCAATATGATAGGCTCAGTGGAGGTCCTGACTCAAGAGAGAGACCAACTGGTGGAGGATAAAGGGACTCTGACTAAAGCAATGGAAAAGAAACTGGAGGTAGTACTGCAGATTAATAACAACCAATATTATAATTAATAATGATTAATAATAATAATTATTATTACTAGACTGCTGAAGTTGATCAAAAGACTGAATTAAACACATATATTGAATCCAGGTTTGACTAATTAATAAATTGATTACTTTATTGTTGTAGAGCTGGTTTGAATGATCTATACACAGCATCTCAGAAGAACCTGGAGGTGGAGATTAAACTGAGACAACAGCTTGAGGGAGAGGTAGACATATTGAAGAGACATAATGAAGAAAAGGAAGTAATAATAATAATAATAATAATAATAATAATAATAATAATAATAATAATAATAATAATAATAATAATAATAATAATAATAATAATAATAATAATAATAATAATATTGTTGCTCCATTTATCTCAGACTGCATTACAACTCCTTGAAAAGAGTGTCCATGAGAAGCAGGACACTATAGTGACGTTAAGAAAACAATTGGAAGAAATGAAATCAGCCAACATGAAGATAAAGACACAACTGAAGGTATGACTAATAATCATTAATAATTAACTAATTAATTAATGTTTAATTAGATATCGAAAGAGACTCACCAATCAGATTCAGTTACTTTAAGAAACTTGGAAGGAAAAGTGTCTCAAGTGTCCAACGAGAATAAGCAGCTTGAGGGAAAGTACGTCCGATTAATTAATAATTAATAATTAATTTGTGAATGATGTAGGTTACAAGAAACAAGATCAAGTTTAAGAGACTCTGAAAAGACGTGTCGAGAAGTTGGCGCTAAACTTCAGGAGGTGCAGCTGGCAAGGAATAATGCGGAATCAGACCTCAGCATTGAAAAGCAATGGAGAATATCTCTTCAAGTAATAAATGAATAAATAAATAAATAATTATAAATATGAATTATAAGGCTGAACTAAAGAAAGAGAAGGATAGAGTAGTTGAACTGACAAGTGAATGTAAGAACTTTAGAAATTTAAAACAAGTAAGATAATAATAATAATAGTAATAATAATAATAAACAATGTATATGGCACTTAGTACAGTATGTTGCGTAGAAAGTTTGAAGTGATTCCAATATAGTGTGGACATTTTTACGAATTTTAACGTTTATTAAAATCGGACAAAAGTTTCATAGGGATTTGGTCAAATTTTGCCAAAATTGTAAGGGAGGGTTTCTCTCAATTTTATTACATTTTCTGATACATATTGATGCCCTTATGCTGTGTAGCAAGTTTGAGCTGATTCCGAATTGAATTTTTCAAGTTACAGCCATTTTAAGAAAACGCCAAAATTCTGAAAAATACCCAAGGCTATACTCCATGGTTTTTTCCAAAAAATGGCCAAAAAATCACTCCAAATTTTTATTACATTTTCTAATACATATTGATGCCCTTATGCTGTGTAGCAAGTTTGAGCTGATTCCGAATTCAATTTTTCAAGTTACGGCCATTTTAAGAAAATGCCAAAATTCTGAAAATTACCCAAGGCTATAGCCCATGGTTTTTTCAAAAAAATGGCCAAAAAATCACCCCAAATTTTTATTACATTTTCTGATACATATTGATGTCCTTATGCTGTGTAGCAAGTTTGAGGTGATTCCGACTTGAATTTTTTAAGTTACGGCCATTTTAAGAAAATGTCAAAAATCTGAAAAATACCCAAGGCTATAGTCCATGGTTTTTTTCCAAAAAATGGCCAAAAAATTGCTCCAAATTTTTATTACATTTTCTGATACATATTGATGCCCTTATGCTGTGTAGCAAGTTTGAGCTGATTCCGACTTGAATTTTTTAATTTATGGCCATTTTAAGAAAACGTCAAAAATCTGAAAAATACCCAAGGCTATAGTCCATGGTTTTTTCCAAAAAATGGCCAAAAAATCACTCCAAATTTTTATTACATTTTCTAATGCATATTGATGCCCTTATGCTGTGTAGCAAGTTTGAGCTGATTCCGAATTCAATTTTTCAAGTTACGGCCATTTTAAGAAAATGCCAAAATTCTGAAAAATACCCAAGGCTATTATAGCCCATGGTTTTTTCCAAAAAATGGCCAAAAAATCACTCCAAAATTTTTTTTACATTTTCTAATACATATTGATGCCCTTATGCTGTGTAGCAAGTTTGAGTTGATTCCGAATTCAATTTTTCAAGTTACAGCCATTTTAAGAAAATGCCAAAATTCTGAAAAATACCCAAGGCTATAGCCCATGGTTTTTTCCAAAAAATGGCTCCGAAATCGCCCCAAATTTTCATTACATTTTCTGGTCTAGCGCTAAATTTTGTCAAAGATAGTTGTTCTCCATTTTTATAATTTTTTTTGATATATATTCATGTTCTCATGTTATGAGTTTGTTTATAGGAGCACTCTCAGCTCCAGGAGAAATACGCTTGTCTCCAGGAGTCAGTCCAAGAGCAGGAGATTGCTCTAGTGGAGATGGGGAAACAGCTCAGCCTGTATGTAACAACTTATTAATAATGTAATCTAATTGTATGTTAGCTCACAACAAAAGATTATAGACATGAAGGAGACTACACTTGATAGCATTTGGGAAGATGAAAAGGATGTCCTGGAATGTAGGAATTGTAAAGCAACTTTCTCTGTAGCTAGAAGAAAAGTAATCCATGAGATATCTTCATTATTATCATTACTAGTCTTGTGTATAGCACCACTGCAGGAACTGTGGACAGGTTTATTGCAGTTCTTGTTCTGATAACACGATGCAGCTGGCTTCCAGTGCTAAGCCGGTTAGAGTCTGTGACAATTGCTATCAAATACTGTTACAAAGAGCATCAAAATGAACCAGGACCAACTGTGTCTGTGTGCAGCAGTGCTGAATATTTTATAATTTACTGAAATATTAATATATTAAGTGTGGAGCCTTTAAATTTTATACATAATGCATTAATTAATGGAGTCATTGATGTGCGTTGAATGCAGATTGCAGAGTAATAATTTAATTGGGCCACGCCCATAATATACAAACTTTGTACTTTTCCGTATACTATCAAACAAGCCATTTTAATAGACTTCAAATCCTGAGTGTACATGTAGCTTCTCTATCTTTTATTGATCTGTTGGTGAATTGGTCTATTGGTGGATTGGTTTCAGTTAGCATGAGTTTGCCAGAGGCAGGTTACACTCAGGGACAGTTGACCTTCCTTGATTCTGATCCATACTATGGAGCTGATACTCAAGGGATGGAGTATGGGTTTGAATTCACTCAATTGTCTCAAACCCAAACCCAATCCTCTCAACTAACACAGTCCAATGGAGGAGGGCCCACTGGCACTAGCAATGCTACCAGTGGGAGCAGCACTGCAGTCAAGAGCAATAAAGGTAACTAGTGTATACTCTTGATATTAATTAATGGATTGATTGGTTTGTGTTAGATTCATTGTTTGATGAAGAAGGAGATGTTGAGTTTGAAGAGGAAGAGCCACACCCACAAGAACTACCACCTCATGCTTGCAAGTAATTAATTAATGGATTAATAATTTGTCATAATTAGTTACTGTTATTAACAGATACTGTGGTATACATGATCCAGCTGCTGTCGTGATGTGTAATTCAACAAAGAAATGGTTTTGTAATGGAAGAGGGAACACTTCAGGAAGGTGACTGAGAGTACAATTAATCTCCATTATTAATATAATGATTATTAATGCTGCCCCTTCATTCAGTCATATAGTGAACCACTTAGTCCGAGCTCATTATCATGAAGTGACGCTACATAAAGAAGGTCCTCTAGGAGAGACTGTGCTTGAGTGTTATAACTGTGGCTGTAAGAATGTGTTCAAGTTAGGATTTGTACCTGCAAAGGCTGATTCTGTTGTGATGTTACTCTGCAGGTCATTAATTAACTGTATTATTAATTAATTAATTTATTAATAGATTACCTTGTGCCCAGTCTAACAGTTTAAAAGACATGGACTGGAACCCAGCCAACTGGCAGCCATTAATAGTCGACAGGTACAGTCCATCATATATATGATAATACGTAGTACATTTGTGTATATGTGCATGTAATTGTATGTATTGGGTATTGTTCAGGTGCTTTCTTCCGTGGTTGGTTAAGATACCAACTGATTCTGATCAAGCCAGAGCGAGACAAATAAGTGGAACTCAGATTGGGAAACTTGAAGAGTTATGGAAAGTAATTAATTATTATTATTATTTATTAATTAATTAATATTAATTAGGATGATCCTGATGCCACTTTGGATACCTTACAAAAACCAGGTATTGACGAGGAACCAGCGCAAATACAACTGAGGTATTGTTTATTGTTGTTGTTGTTGTTTATTGTTGTATTTTATTGTTTACAGATATACAGATGCATATCAGTATCAGAACATTCTTGGCCCTTTGGTCAAATTGGAAGCTGATTACGACAAGAAGCTGAAAGAGAGTCAGACACAAGATGGTATTATTGTTCGTTGGGACATTGGACTCAACCAAAAGAGACTGGCTTACTTTAACTTCTCAAGACAAAATGGAGGTATGTCTCTATGTATCAAGAAATGTAATGGAAGTGGAGAATTCTCTCTTAGTCGTTTTGGACAAAATTTGCCCAAGAAATACATGTACATTTATTATAATGGTCTTTGGGCTGGTGTATCAGAAAATCTAATTAATTTCCTCCCTTTCTATTTTGGTGAAATTTGACCAAAATCCCTGTACTATAGTACAGGGACTTTGATCTGATTTTGAAGAAACTTTAAAATTCTAATTTTGATGAAAATGAGGTAGATTGTATTAATTAATGACTGCTCAATAGACATGAGGCTGATGCAGGGAGATGAACTGAGACTGAGGTATGTTGGGCGGAGTCATGAACCATGGAATGGAATAGGACATGTTACTAAAGTTCCATCAAGTAATTAATTAAACATTAATTAATTAATTAAATATTATTGTTAATAGGTTTTGCTGAAGAGGTTGGCCTGGAACTCCGTAGCAATGTTAATGTACCAACTTCATGTACAAGGGACTTTTGTGTTGATTTTGTGTGGAAGTCGACATCATTTGACAGGATGCAGAATGCTCTTAAACTAATAGCAGTAGATGAAGGATCAGTATCTACTTATTTATATCACAGACTCCTGGGGCATGAAGTACTGGAAGAACCAGCCATCATTATACACAAGCAATTACCTAAACAGTTCGTTAATAACAGACCACACCTCCTTTGATGACTGAACCACACCCCTTTAATTATTTAGTTTCTCAGCTCCTAATTTGCCCAAGTTGAATCCCTCCCAGATATATGCTGTGAAGACTGTCCTTCAGAAACCTCTTGGACTGATACAGGGTCCTCCTGGTACTGGTAAAACAGTGACCTCCGCTACCATTGTGTATCACTTATCTAAAATGGGAATGGGGTAAGAGCTGGTCAGTTCTGAGTTCATTTTAACATGAACTCTTTTAGTCAAGTGCTGGTGTGTGCCCCCAGTAACATTGCTGTTGATCAGTTAACGGAGAAGATTCATAAAACTGGTCTAAAGGTCGTGAGACTCTGTGCCAAGTCACGGGAAGCCATAGACTCACCCGTTTCATTCCTAGCCCTCCACAACCAGGTCATCCAACTTGCTAAAGATAGGTTTGTTACTATTAATAGCTTGTTACTATAAATAACTCATTACTGTTAATAGTTACCCTGAGCTAAAGAAGTTACAGCAGTTGAAAGATGATCAAGGTGAGTTGTCCAGCACAGATGAGAAGCGGTACACTAGTTTGAAGAGGCAGCTGGAGAAGGAGCTGCTACTAGGAGCTGACGTCATCTGCTGCACCTGTGTCAGTGCAGGCGACCCGAGACTCGCTAAATTTAGTTTTAAAATGGTCCTCATTGATGAGAGCACTCAAGTATGTATACCTATCAGTGATAATAATTGATTTATTGTTATCACAATTATTAAAGGCGACAGAGCCGGAGTGCATGGTCCCTATTGTGATGGGGAGTAAGCAAGTGGTACTGGTAGGAGACCACTGTCAGTTGGGACCAGTCATTATGTGCAAGAAAGCTGCAAAGTAATTTATTATTAATAATAACTATTAAATATTAATTTATTACTAATTCTAGTGCAAGATTATCCCAGTCCTTATTTGAGAGGCTGGTTCTGTTAAACATTAAACCAATCCGTCTTGAAGTTCAATACAGGATGCACCCTGCACTGACCGAGTTTCCTTCAAGCGTCTTCTATGATGGAACACTCCAAAATGCAGTGTCACCTGAAGAAAGAAGAATGGACGGTAGTATTATTGCTTGTTGTTGTTTATTGTTGTTGCTTATTGTTTAGAAGTTAATTTCCCCTGGCCCAATGTTGATAAGCCAATGTTCTTCTGGTGTTCCTTTGGTCAAGAGGAGATCTCTTCAAGTGGAACCTCTTATTTAAACAGGTTAATTAAGTGGGTGTGGTTTATTATTAATATTATATATTGTAGAACTGAAGCAGTTAATGTTGAGAAGGTGGTCACTAAATTGATGAAAAATGGAGTGAAGCCGGTTCAGATTGGAGTGATCACCCCATACGAAGGACAGAGGGCTTATGTTGTCCAGCAGATGCAGTTCAATGGAGGAATGTCTTCAAAACTTTATGAGCAACTTGAAGTGGCCAGTGTGGACGCTTTTCAAGGAAGAGAGAAAGATTTTATCATTTTATCGTGTGTGCGCTCCAATGAACACCAAGGTATACTAATAATATACTAACAATATACTAATGATATCCTATAGGGATTGGTTTTTTAAATGATGCCCGTAGGCTCAACGTGGCTCTCACTCGTGCCAAATATGGAGTTATAATAATTGGAAATGCTAAAGTGTTATCAAGGGTATGAATAATTAATGAGTTAATTATTAATTATGAATAATTAGAACGAATTATGGCATCACTTGATTAAAGAGTATCAAGAGCAAGGTTTACTAGTTGAGGGTCCGCTGAATAATTTAAGAAGAAATGAAATGCATTTAAGTAAACCAGTGAAAATGAGAAAGGTTAATTAATTATTAATTAATCATTAATTAATAATTGTAAATAACTATCAGTACATACCAAGAGCTGTCTACAGTGCCAAAGAATACTTGGAAACCACAGGAGCTGGCAATCAGTCCAGACCTTATGAGGGTATAGTCATTATCTGATTATTGTAATTTATTATTAATTATTATTAGTTGGTTTCCATGACGATTATTACAGATCACATGATCACATGGGATACATTGGAGCTGATCGTAATTCAGCTATTGCAGCTGCTTCCATTCACTTGCCTCACAGCATCTTTATACCTCCAGTCCCTCCCCCCCAACACTATAATCAGGTATTAGTCTAATTAACAGGGGCTCACTCATTCCTTGCTTAGATGATTGGTACTGCTGGTAAAGTTGATTCATTTGCTAATAACTTACTGAACAGTCAAGCTAGTCAGGTAGTAATATAGACTAGTATACTGAATAATACTGATAATATTGCTAGTATACTGAATAATACTGATAATATTGCTAGTATACTGAATAATACTGATAATACTGATAATATTGCTAGTATACTGACTAATACTGATAATATGATATAACATATTTGTACATGTACTTTGCAGGATAGCAGCCAGCAAGGTAGTCAACCGCTGACTCAGCAGAATTTAACAATGAGTCAACCAACACAACCACTAACTCAATCGGAATTATCACAAGTAATTCATCAATCAATTAATGTATTTATTAATGTATTTACTGATACTAATTGTAGGACATATTTGTTGATGAGTTTAATTCTCAGTCGGACGGTATTTTGTCACAAAGTTCAAGTTATCAAAATGACGATGAAGCCGACAATAGAGGACCAACCCGTCCTCTCATTGGTTACACTCACCCAATGTACAAGACACGGGATAACTAGCTAGTGGTTTATACCTCCTCCTCAACTGGTTATGCACTGTCCTCCATTTAATGAGAGAGGGAGGGAAGAGGAGAGACATTTACTATTGATGACATCATTATTAGTATCTGTTTTAGTATCAAACTAGTTATTAATTGTTAATGTAATAATTACCAGTATCTTTGTTATTATTTTGTTGTTTTCTATTGATTTCTTATTGTAAACTTCCTTTGCTACATGTATGAGTAGGATCTTTAATGTCATTGATTATTGTTAAGGCGGATTTACAATATTACGCTAGTCCTGACGTTACGTTGACGCTGGAATAGAATCTGGTTCTATTCCAGCGGAAAGCATGCGTCAAAAGGTCAAATCGCCCACGCTTTTGATTAAAAATTGACGGTACGCTGGCCTAATGTCATATTGTAAATCCGCCTTTAGGCATTGATGGAGGGTGTGGCTAATGTTACAATGTCTTCCACTGGTAAAAAGAGAAAAGGTTTAAAACAGCAGCTAAGAGATACCAACCGTCTTCTATCTAAAGTAAAACAATAAATTTATTATTATTATTATTATTAATTAGAGTGATCTTCCTGAGACTGTACGAGTGTCAAAGGAAAGGATTGCTAAACTGATCACTCAAGAAATAAAAGAGAAGGAGAAGAAGGAAAGAGATAAGAAAATTAATAAAAAATACAAAATGGTCAAATTTTTTGGTAAGTAATAAGCATTATGAAAATAATGTATTTAATTAACTTGTAGAAAAGAGGAAGGTCACTAGAAAATTAAAATCATTAACAAAACAATTGATTACTGCAACTGACGAAGATAGGTGAGCATAGTCTCGTGTAGCCAGACCCATCCCCTTTTTGACAATCAAAAAGGGGATGGGTCTGGCTACGCGAGACTAAGGTGAGCAGTATTTAGAATAATAAATATTATTTAATTTTATTATACATAGAGAAGCATTGTTGTTAGAGATTGATAATTTGAAAAAGGATTTAAACTACATAACAGTAGGATAGTCTCACTAGTTTCTGTATAATGGTTCTAATTATTATTAGTATTTTCCAAATGGACACAAGTATATATCCTTGTACCCTACCACTTCAACTAGTGAAAGATCACTTCAAATGAGAGGTGAGCTTCACTCTGAACTGAGACACATGTAAAGTATTTTCACCTTACAATTGGAGACAACTTTGAATTTGTTAATTTCGATCAAAATTGCATTTTAAAGTTGCTCCAAAATTGGGCCAAAGCCCCTGAAATACAGACTTTGGTCAAATTTTAAGGAGGGATAATTCTTACATTTTTTGATCCTGTCCATACAATAATTCTTATTGTACTGTACATCCTAACCACCTAATGTACATATACTGTGGTTGATTGACTTGAGCCATTTTTCTCAATATTAGATGATATCTATCAAAGTATAACAAGACAAGTTTCTGAAGGAACTATTAGTGATTCCTTTCATAGCAACTCACTGTGTGATAGTCAAGGTATCGAGCTACATGTGTAATAATGAATTATTATAAAGTTTTTTAAGTAGATAAAAAGGTCCATGACAAGAAACTAACTGATGAGTTCTTCATGTAATAATTATTTTCCCAATGTATGGTATACAATTATTCCAGAATCATCCATCAATTGTACACGTATTATGCATGTTCTAAGAATCACGATGTATAAAAACTGAATAATAATAACAATACAAACTATTATACAGACAATAAGAGTGGCTGGTTGAATACATTAATTATAAAGTTCTTTATAAATTCCATTAGCAGCATGTATTGTATTTTTGAGCACCATGGCAACAGTCATAGGCCCCACTCCTCCTGGTACAGGTGTGATCAGAGATGCTACTTTAGATACCTGAGGAAACTCCACGTCACCAACTATCAGTGTCTCTCCATTAGCATCTTTCATTTTAATTAATCCTAAAAAAGAGTAACAATAACAAGAAACAGTCGTTGCTATAGTTACCAATGTCAATTACTGTAGCTCCTTCTTTGATCATGTCTCCTCTGATCAGTCCAGGGACCCCTAGTACAGTATTACCAGTAACCACACCTCGTTATTATCATCACTCTTCTCTCTTACCGGTCCCAGTGATTACAATGTCTGATAATAAAGTCATTCTTTTCAGTTCGTCAGGAGGTGTGTATCTGTGACATATTATTGTAGTGGCATCAGCTCCAATGAGAGGATTATTAGTACCATATCCATCAGAATGGAGTAAAGTACTTAATGTAAATCCTAACAATACATTCAGAGTATCACACCAATGCTTAACAGTACATTCATATGCTGTACCTATGTGTTTTGATCTTCCAACAATGCAGGCAGTTTTTCCAAATGTGTCAACTTTACACCTTTTCAATATTTCCAGAACCCCTAGGGGAGTTGCTGGTATAAAAGCAGGTCTTCCCATTACATATCTCCCTATTGGATATGAACTATCAGTGCATAGTAAATATAGCCTGTAGCTCACCAATATTCAGCAAGTGGAATCCATCAACGTCCTTAAATGGACTAATAGATTGACAGATTAAAGTTTCATCGATATGAGGTGGCAGTGGCAATTGTACCAACACTCCATCAATATTGTCATCTTTGTTTAGACTCTCTATTAATTCTAATAGTTCATCCTATTGAAGTAGTGAGAGTCATAACAACAACAACAGCATAAGTACATGTATACCTGGCCTATTGTTGCTGGTTTATGGAGTACATCTCCTCTCATTCCTACCTTAATGGCAGTCTTACTTTTTCTCTTTACGTAAGTTTTTGAAGCTGGATCGTCTCCAACCAGCACTACAGTTAGGTTAGGTGGTCTCTGGCTCTTAGCTGTAATACCACATACTTCATCATACAGCTCTCTCTGTATCTAAGGATCATGGAATGACTCACTGCTACATTGACCAGGTCTTACTCTCTTTGCTAGCAAGTTTCCATCAATGAGGTTAGCTTTAATTCCAGGCTTATTCACTACAAAGTCCAGTCCATTTGTTCCTGCAGCTGTTGACAGCTGTCTCCGCAACACAGGATTAGCAATCCTACCAGCAGAATGAAGAGCCTTCATCATTTTGGACAAGGGAAGTTTATAGAGATTGGCTTCTCATTGATGAAGTGAACAACAACCCTCATAGCAGTCAAACCTGTTTATTGTTTATGTCAAACTGGATTGACGGGGAGTGGACTGGGCGTATCCCGTCACGTGCTATCACATGAGAGAGAAACAGAGAATGGCTGCTGTTCCTTCTGATCTCTTTCCATTTCTTTACAAATTTATGATCAATAATTCTCTCCACAAGACTGCCAGATCTTTTATAAAGGAAACCAAATTTGTGAGTATATAAATGAATACACTTTTAGTGATCATATTCATCATCATCATCATAATTAATTATCATCAGACCATTCCCTGTACTAATGATACTGGTACTACTGATGACGGACTCTTAGATTTTTATATACACTACAAGAAGAAGTGAGGCAATTTTGAGCTTATTGTTAATGATTTCATTTATTTAGTTTGTCTTCTAGTCTCAAAAGGAAGGCCTCAGAAATGGAGTCATCAACACACAAAGCAAAGAAAATAAAAGTAGAAGTTGAATCATCAAGTACAATGTTTAGATTAAGCAAAAGTTAATGAATTGTTTGTAAAGATGAAGGGAGAGAACCGCAAGGTGGTGTTAAGAAGAAAGGTAAAGTGAGATCCAAAGAAAGAAAGAATTCAGGAGAAAGTGATGGCAAGGAAAATGAAGTTGGAGCTCCAGCAAAGGAAGGTTACTCTTGTGTCATTTGAACACAATTATATTTATTTTTAAAGAAACTGAGGGTGAAGAAACAGCTCCTAAAAGAAAGAAAAGTAAAACGCCATTGATGAAAGAAAGCATTCATAATGGAGGAGAGACTTTTACAGTCTCAGATGAAGAGAGTATGTTGATTATGAAGCTGATGACTGTTGATGTTTGTTATTAGCCTGTAAAGAGGTTGTCAGCAGTTTAATGAATCCAGAAAAGACTTCAAAAAAGAAGAAAAAGAGCAAAGCACTAGAAACAGGAGAAGAAGAGGAGAGACAGAGCCATTCAACACCTACAGTTCCTTTCAGACGTGTTGATGACAGTATTACTGTGGACATGAAACTTAGCAATAACTCTTTTGAAGCTAAAGTAATTATTTATTAGCATTACATCCTTTAATCTGTTTCATTTGTAGAAAGGTTCTAAAGGTTCCTGGGGAGAGAAAGCAAACAAAGACTTTAAACATACAAAAGGTTTGCCGCTTGTGTCATGTAGGACCCACCCACTGGTTGTATAATTGTAGGTAAAAGCTTTCGTCACGAAAAGACAAAAAAGAAGAGAGGAACTTATAAAGGAGGAATGATAGACACCAGTGTTAATAGTATCAAATTTGATAGTGACTGATCATGATGATCGTAATTAATTAATTAATTGAAAGCCACACCCCTAAATTGAATGTGACTGACAATGGCCTCATCAAAGATGAGTGTGTCTGAAGCTAATTCCCGTGCTTCCAATGAGAAGAGGTTTCTTTTCCAGTCTATTCTTGGTCAGGGCTCCTTTGGTACTGTAATGAAAGCAAAGGATAAGGTTACTGGAGATCTGGTAGCCATTAAAATAGTGAAAACCCACTCATCACTGTTGGACAGGATTCTAAAGAGAAGGTCCAAGGAACTGGCTGAAGCTCATCAAGAAGTGGACATGTTACTGAAACTTTCACACAAGAATGTACTCCATATGGAAAGCTATTACGAGTTTAGAGTCAAATTAAAAGAAGTGGGACTGTGTATTGTCACCGAGTATTGCTCTAATGGAAACTTGCAGCAATACTTGAGCTCCAATGATTCAAAACCTGGGAGAGATGATTGCATGAATTGGTATTTGCAGCTCACTTCTGGTCTGGCCTATATTCACAGTAAAGGCATAGTACACAGAGACCTGAAACCTCCGAACATTTTAATAACGAGTTCTAATGATCTTAAAATAGCTGACGTTGGTCTTGCTAAGGCGGTATGGGATCTCAAGACAGAATCAAATGAGGCTCCATCTGATACTAGCTTCCTCCACTACATGAGCTCCATAACTGGCACTCCTTGCTACATGGCCCCTGAAGTTTGGGAGGAACATTACAACACTTCCAGTGATGTATTTTCACTTGCTCTGATCTTTATTATGATCCGTGAAGCTCCCAGTCCTCTATTGCCAGTTGGGAAATGGAATGAGCGAACAGATTCAATTGGATTATTGTTGTATCGGTATCCTGATAGTCGTCTTGAGGAACCTGTTTCTTTGTTTTCACCATCCTTCTCTGTCTCTGATCAAAAAGAGAAACTCCTTTTTAATAAAATGTTGCAATACGATTATCACAAGCGACCGACTCTGCAGGAAATAATGACTGAAATTGAGGATATGAGAAGGCCCCGGCCGCAGGAATTGGAGACCACATCAGATGAAGATAATGGTGACAACAGCAGTTGGTGTGTGATAATTTAAATTAAATTGGTTATTGAATTTGTATTTTGAACAAGGGAAACATTATTCAATTTTGGGACATTGTGTCACTGTGTAAACAGCTTTGTAAATTTACTGTATCTGATAAGAAGCTGTTGTAGTCTTGTAGACAGCTGTTACTAACCATCTGTAGCTATTGAAACTGGTCAAAATTCCATCAAAAGTGACAAATAGAAAATTCCTCAATTTTTTACATTTTCTGGTACATATACATGTACTTATGTTGCGTAGAAAGTGTACCTATATATACCATAATAACCTTGCTATACAAGTACATTCATAGCATTACCTATAATACCTCATAACCTCTGACCTTTACAATGTAAATATGCCTACATTTGCTTTACTGAGCACATTGCTACCACCATATATACCATTACCATCGCCTACATTAATTTATAACCTGAGATATCCTAAATATAACAATATATGACCATATTAATGTTTCTTAATACTTAATACCATATACCATTAT